AACTCTTTAGGCGGGGAGTTTGTCGAAACATAGAGCCGCAGAATCCGATTAGCCCGGGTAAGCCACCTAGCATGGAACATCTTTCCAGGTGACTTGTTTGCTAAATCTTCTGAAGCACGCCGGTCGAGACAGCAGACGTAATACTGTACAGGTAAGACTGGTCTATGCTGAGATCTTGGGCTTTCAATTGTGGTAACTCTGACGGTATTGCCTGATACTTTACAACGGGTTTCTTTTCACAGTTTTCTAACTGTTTTCCGATTTTCCCCGCAAAAGTATTCAGTCCCGTTGTAGCGCCATCAATATGCTCGAATAAATGCCGCAGTGGCAGTTCGTTCATATGTAGCAAGCAAACAATCCATTGCAGAGGCTTTTTTAATTGTTTTTCTATTAAACGTATGACACCTCCATAGTTTCCAACGTTTACATTTGTCCCATCGCATCCAATAACCAGTAAATCACCCATAGATATGTTTTCATTTAAAAAGTAGTCCGTAATTGCCTTTACTATATCTTTAGAAGTTCCCGAGCTTGGTATAACGTGACCCAAGTAAATAGAGCCTGGTTCCTTAATAAGTGAAATATGATCCTCCCGTATCGTCCTTCTGTAATATTTCTCTCCTTTTTTTGTCATTATGAGAGTTTTATCTTTTCGACCATCAAAATATAATGCGGGTATTTGTTGGGGTTTGTCTTTAGATATTATGGTTTTTCGTGTTTTACTTCTCTCCCGGCGCAATTTGTTTTTGTCAATTACTGGGGCAGCCGTGTCTGTAGTTTTCAAAACTACTGAAGCAAGAGCAGCTCCTGCCCTGTCGGATATTCCAAACCTGTCACATGTCTTCGAAAGCGCAGAAAAATCCATATCCTGGTATGTCTTCTCTTGCTGAGACGTACCGGGCTCCTCGAACACTAAGAAGTCATCACAATCAGTTTCGTCGGTGATTGAAGACGAAGAAGAAATAAGTTGTAGGTCTGTGGATACTTCGACTCGTTCCAATTGATTTTTCTGTGCGGATTGCTGCTTAGAAAATTTTCTTTTCAATGTCTTTCTGAGTTGATTTGTAGTAGCAACGTCGACATTTCCTATTATCATTTTTCTAGAGGTGCGTTGATCAATCAGAAAATCACGTTCAGCAGTAGGTACTTTTCGTTCCTTAGAGCAGGTGCAAGCGCTCAAGTCATTGCATTTGCAGGAACAAATGTCGAAGAGAGCTTTGTTGTGGCGCTGAAACGTGTCAATGTTTTTCTTAGGTATTTTGGGGTGGGATTTGAGAAGGTTTTTGTATTTGATGTGATAAGATTTTAGCATTTGACATATTCTTACATGTGTCACAGTTGGTAGTGACGCTTTCAGCCAAATGTCTTCAATTTTTTTAGTCACCAACTCTGCGATTTCGAAAAATGATGGCTCTTTCTGGGAATTATTATTAAACTTGACTTGCCTTCTCGTCCACTCGTAGTATTTGATGACATCTTCATATGTTGGCAGCATATTGAGTTTAATATCATATAATTCACCAAGCAGTGGACATTTATAACACTTTCGAGTACGTTCCATTGTGACACAGAGTAAAACGCGACCTCTAACCTCAAAAGCCGCAGCGCCTCTGATGCGAAAAAAATAACGCGCCAAATGCAAACTCCGCTCCCCGCCCCCTCACCTCACGCCGTTGGTTATTATTAGCGATACGTTTGGTATTACCCTAATGAAATTTGATTATATTTCCTATTGAAAAACACTTTAAACTTGGTAAAACTTCAATTAGAACGTTTTTTACTGGGTTGCGAAAACACGTCTTAAATCATATTTTTCCAAAATTTGAAAGTCAATCCGGAGGCTGTTACCTAAAACAGAATTTGAAAATACTTCATAAATACTAGTTCTAACCCATAAGGCACCTTTTTATCGCTATTACGAAAAGAAAATAGAAAAAAAAAATTTCGGCCCACCCTAATATATAGGGCAAACAAAACGATCAATAAAAACCCGCGTAAAAGAACACATAGCTGACGTGAAGCACCAACGTTCCGGGAAGTCTGCAGTTTGTGATCATATCCTAGACGGCCCCCGTCATTACATTAGATTTGATAAACCACAAGTCCTCGCGAAAGAACATCGATTCCTGCCAAGGATGATACGTGAGGCTATTGAAATTAAAAAACATCCTAATTTCAATAGAGAGGGAGGCTGGGTACTACCACCTGCTTGGGATCCTGTAATTCATAAAATTAAAACTAAACCCAAGCATACCACTGTAAGACTTCAAGACACAGTTAGTTCATTCTGCGTAGATCGGACCAAAATTAATAATTAAAAAGCTGAAGGTACTCCGGGTTAACTTTGACATCGGGACGTCAATCACCTCAGTCCCCCGTGACCACGGTTGCTGGAAAGCAACCGAAACGTCGGGAATATAAAATAAGTAAATTAAACGCGATAAAATCCGTAAAAATAGTTTTATTCAATGTGTAGTGTTCGCGTAAATATAAGAAATCATTATATCAAAGTGAATTTGTTTTACGCCATGTTTTACGCCACATGATGCCTCAGTATAAGTATTTAGTGTTACATTTACTAGTAAATTGAAAATAAAAATACTTAAAATAAACTTTGTTTAGCATTTTATGCGAGAAAAAACGTTTAATTAAATTTTTGTTGTTAAATTACAACAGGTACTACTTAGGTAGGTAACTACTTTTCTTCAATGTTTTTCTTCTGTATAAATGAAATTTTAAAAGTCGTGAGTTTGTCCGCCATTCCATTACTGTCGAGGACCACTTCTTGGACAAGCAATTAAGCTTATTTGGAGTGGTTAACGGAATTATTAGTAATGTTAAGAGCATTACTAGTTTAAAAAAATATATTAAAAAAAATTGACGTTTGGGTTGTTGTAGATCGTATAATCTACCTTTTCCCCAAAAACCATCCTTACCTATACCAGCTAATAGACAGACGAATTTCTAGCAACTTATTTTTGACTAAAATCTTTTATGAACATTGAACTGGTGATTTGTCAACTTTCGATTTGGATTTAATATGTCAATGATATTATGTCTAGTACGGCCAGTATGGCGATCATTAATGTGCCAAAAAAACAGTCGGAAAATTTGACGTAAAACCTATATTCACAAGTGAACTATACATGGTAGATTATACTATTATGATACCATATATTTCAAGAAGAATTTCATCGCTTTGTTGAAAATAAAATGATTATTTTATAGATTTTTGCTTATTCTGCAACTTATTAAGAGATTATGTCGGGAGAAACAGTATTCCCTGAACTAATCTTCCTTGTAAGTACCTAACGAATTCTATTGCCCCGTAATTAATCAAAGGAGCTTTATTTGACGTGCGAAGATTAAGGCCTTGAAGATTTGTTACAATTTTTGTAAGATTTGCGTCACTACAAATAGGTTTCTAATAATTGAAAAATAAATGAATCACTTAAAGTACTAGCAGCGTTAAGCAAAATATTTTCTCTGTCTTCCCTCCGGTAAAACCTTAGGTGCACTAATAATATAGGTGAGGTTGACATTTGGAGAAAAAGTCCGGGTCAATGCATCAGGTTACCTGATTAGATTTCCGTTTTACGTGTTCGGGCATCTGAATGTAAATGAATTTCAATAAAACGAAAATGTTCTTCATGGCGCACATGTTACCATTATTTCCAGAAGGAAACTATACATCGTGTACGTTTCTGAAAGCAAGCCATTCGAAATAAAAAACGGAAAAAGCAGAATAGCGTCTTCAAAAACTAACCAGACCGCTTGCGTATACGGACAAAATGTGCGTGACGCGGCTTAAGAGCGGAAGTACCCATTCTGAATATGCCAGTTACCGTGCCTAGCAAGTAATGGACGTACATACAGGGAAAAAGACATGAAAGAATAATAATATTACAACACATCAAAATGTGAAGGAGTGGATTTGGATGTGAAGAAGGCGAAAAAGGTGATTTGGGGAAACGTGGCCGACATTTCCTTGCCCTAAAACCTTAATCCCTCAGAAATAAGAGGATTTCTGTTTGCAGGAATGAGAAATTACTAGGTGGCGATTAGGTTATCACATTAAATAACACAGCGGTATATACAAGCTCATACATGTCGATTAAAATAATAAAATAAACAATTCTACCAAAAATAAAAAAATGCATCTTTCAAACAAAATAAATAGCGTAAAAATTGACACGAAATAAATACCTTGATAATATTAGTTTTAATAAAGTTAGTGACATGTAAAAGCGGCAACGGTGCGGCCGGTACGCAGTAGTCACGCGGCATCGACATAGGTAATTATTTACCTATACTTTCTCGTTCATAAGTAATTAGGCAAAATACGAAAAAAAGGCTTTTGCGACTAGAATGTTAATTGTTATATATATATATATATATATATATATATATATATATATATATATAGTTGTGTATGTCCAAAGAACGTCATATAGGATAAGTCTTTTCATTTAATGTGATAACTTTATGGCCACCCCGTAGAGGTTGCATTTTCAATTTTTTACTTTATACGTATACCACTATGCTCTCTGGTTGCAGATTTTTTTTATAAATCGTATTTACCTCAACTGCCCCGCTTGCCAAGATAATTAGATTGCATTTTTATTTGAAGTTTTTTTTATAGGATGGGGTGACAAACGAGCACACAGTCCACCTGATGGTAAGTGGTTGCTGTGGCTCATAGACATCTACATCTATCCTCGTTTGCGAATCAAAATGCAGATGCAGCGTTGTCACCCGTGAGGACTAAGATGGAATGCCTCTTTGCCAGTAAAAAGGGTCTATACGAAACACAGCAGTGTTAAACTGCTATTTTACGGTGGTATTCTACAAAGTTCCCACTCCCATAGTCGCCTCTTAAGACTTCTGTGCCAGGAGGAAAAATTTTCGTACGCTACCAGCACACGACTAATTTTACTGCTATATAATGTAATGAAAGTAATTTTTGTTAAAATATTTTTAATAAATACATTTTTGTATTATTACAACACGTTGTTAAATTGTAATGCAATAACTGTATATGTGGTGAATAGAATAATGCAGGTAGGCGGTAAACTCATGTCAACCGTGATTGACCCGAATGCTTGAATTTGTAATTGACGATTGGAAACAAGTCTCAGTAGGTCTTTCGTAGCCCGGTAAACTTCATAATCTGAAAATAAATATAAATATATTACTTCATGCAATTATTAAACATAACAGAACGTAATCATTTAGATTAGCAGCATGTGCTGAGGGTATATGGCCACATATTTTCAAACGTTAGTTATTATACTTTTTTTTATAGGAGAGAGGGCAAACGAGCATGCGGCTCACCTGATGGTGACTACTGCCGCCCATGAACAACCGCAACACCAGGGGAACCAGGGGAATGGCATATAAAAACACTAGATTTTTTTCTTGTACCGTTCTTTAATTTCTTAAAAAAAAAATAATTTAATAATAAGTTCTTTAAAATAATCATAACAACATCTGTAAGAAAAGAAATTATATTTCTTCGATTTTTATTTTCATACAAAAATAAAAATATCTTATTTGGACCTTCTAAACGGCAATAGTCCTAAATAGCAAAATAAAGCGCGTGGCGGGGTAGGGGTGGAGGGGTGTAGGAGGCGGCGCTTGCTCATTTGAACGTGACCTAATTACCTGTGTCGTCAGTCGCCTTTGTTTTTTGTTGCGCCCGCGACGTTTCTCCTTCCGTTGTAAGATTAATATGGCGAACGTTACGCGTTGTTACAATGGCATACCGATACTCAAATATTGAGTTGCGAAATACCGAAATGGTGCGAATTTTAGCAATTTGCAATGATAACGGTAGTGAAGTCTGCCGTGAATATTCAAGGCGATTTCCCAACTCACGTGAACCGAGCTACGCTACGATGCTAGGTACTACACAGCGATTGCGAGATTACGGGTAATTGCAGCCTGTATCAATCGATCGTGGACGTCCACCGCGGCGCACAGTACGGGAGCAGGAAGACATACTGCAGTTTTTTGAACAAAATCCAGCAGCGAGCACTTATGAGGCAGCCCGACAGTTCAATGTGTCACACTACTACGCATGGAGTATCATACACAATGAAGGGAAGTACCCTTTCCACTTGCAACGTGTTCATGATCTCAGCGAAGCTGACAAACTAGCGCGAGTTACATTGTGTAACTGGTTACTAGCTGCTAAACGAGCCAACATTTTATGGACTGATGAAGCAACATTTGGCAGAATAGGACTATTTAATTCGCACAATGAACACTTTTGGTGCTATGAAAATCCACATGAACCATAGCTTTCAACACCGGTGTCAATGTGTGGGCAAGCGTTATTAATACAACGTTACTGGGCCCGGTCTTCATAGAAAGATTAAACGGTGAAAGCTATCATAGTTTTCTCACTGACACGCTGCCAGATTTGTTAGAGGACATACCACTTGCATCTCTACGCAATATGTATTACCAACTTGACGGGGCGCCGGCACACTATGCTCGCCAAGTTAAGGATTATTTAAACAGAGAATACCCTGGTCGCTGGGTCGGTCGTGACGGGCCTTGTGCATGGCCTCCCAGATCGCCAGATATCACACCAATGGATTTTTATTTGTGGAGGCATGTAAAGACATTAGTGTATACTGGTCGAGCATTCGAAACCCGCGACATGTTGAAAGAGAAAATAATTTGGGCATTCGATCAAATCAAAATGAATCATCAAGTATTATCTCGTGTCGGTGAACAGTTAAGTTTTAGGTGTCACCTATGCATAGAATGTGGAGGTGATTATTTTGAACGCTATGTGCGCGATACTCACCGCCATCCGCGGACAAGTACCTAGGTAAGTCTAATTTTTAAATTAGTATTTTAATATTTTTATTGAACCATTATACCTTAATATCTTTATTCAATTACTATTAATTTGTATTTAATCATTATAAATATTTTATTGTAATATTTGTAATTATTTTAACCTGCATCCATTTTTTAAATACAACTTACATTAAATTAAAAAAATAGTTAATAATACTCATTTAATTTCACGTGCTGCAAACATCGATCACCAAATCGATGCCTGCAAACCGAAAAGGACAGGCGGCGCCTTTGATGACGGTGACACCTGTGTCGACGTTATAATATATCTTTGGCTTGGCCTTGGGCCGCCGCATGTGTGACGTTGAGGCGGTGCCTCTTGAATCCAGGCAGAGTTGCTAGCAAACAGTATTCGTAAAAAAACTACCTAAATGTCTATTAAAGAATGTCTATTAATTCTTAAAGAAATTAATAAAAGAATCAAATAGTTCATCAAATGGTTTTATGCAAAATAAAGAAGTATATGAAAAGTTAATGTGAAGTCATTTAAAGTGGCATCCTGGTGCAATAGGCACAGTGATGAATGGTAGTAGGCACTCGCAACTCAATCAGCTGAGCGCGGGCGTCGACCGGCCTGGCGGTCAATCTTTTTTATTATAAAGAACAATGGCAGACTTTCATACATAAAATTAATTGAGAAGAAATGGTAGCGTCTATATACCAAAAATATCTTAAAATGTTAAGCCTCAGTCCCTTAATAACTCTGTCAAAGAATTTTGTACTGAGAAGGCGTCAAAAAAAAAAGATATTTACATTTGAACTTTTTAGGTTATGTCCTATGTCACTTGGAAAAAGTCACGCTTCCTGTGGTTGTTTGATGTTAGCTTAATACATAATACATAATTGAGAGTTTTTAGATTATTGTATCTCTATTATATATTTGCATACTATAAATGTATATTTCTGGCATCGCTCCAGGTCTCTTGTATCATAGTGACATTCTCAGAAGGGCTAGAACCCTAAAAAAAAACAGTGACATTTTATTTTAGCTAGTGTTGGCATAACATTAAATGGAATTGTTACATAGTACTATGATTGAGATAATGTATTATTGTAGGAAATTCTTTGTAAGAGACTTATTCTCAGCCATATCACTTTTAATTTTATTATTACTGATTGTACAGTTATTACAATAATAACTTAATATAAAAATATTTTGTGTGTTTTGTTGGTAGTCTTACAAAGTATATACGAAAATAGTATAAATATACTAAATGGCAACATTTGAATAGAGTAAAATGATTTAAGTCATTTGATATTCCCAAAAATGTTTGGTTTCTTCTGTGGCTTTATTAAAATACATTTTTATTTGAAAAATCAAAGAAAAATAAATAAACTCATTTTATATATAACTTATTTCTAGACGCTTTAATTTTTGTCAACTATTTTTCTGCCATTGCTCTTTTAATATTTGTGGTTTTTTTTTTTGAATGTCATTTGCTCATTTAATTATGTTTAATGATTTCAACACAATGTGTGATACTGATATCAAGTGTAAAATAAATAAGGCATTTTCTTTGACGATTTATTCTGACATTGTTTAGGTACTACAAAATAGATTTAAAAGGAGTCAGACATGACAACAAAACCTTAAAAGTAGTTTTTTCGTAAATGTATTATATTCTGTGAAGAGTGATCACGCTAAAATTGTTTGTAATGATGTAACCAATACATTCCCAAAAGGTCTTTAGTAAATTAAAAATGAGCCTGTATAGAGCAGGATTGCAGAAAAATAAAATTTAAAATATGTATATATATATATATTGCGTTACAAATACTTTAAATTAAACAAAATAAAACATTAACTGTTTACTTTCATATTGCCAATATATCAGACTTAGACGTAATTACTCTAAGGTGTTAGAGTAAGCACAAGCATAATATACACATATATAAATATACAATACAAACACTCACGCCTGTCACCCAGAGGGGTAGGCAGAGACTACGGACTTCCATTTGGCACGATTTAATATGTATTTATGAGGCTAATGTGAAATACTTAAAAGTCTATGGTCAACAGTTGCACAAAGTAGATTTGTAGTAGATTGTTGCCAAAGAATTATAAAATATTGCCAACAAATAATTGACAAGGCCACCGATTTTTGTTATGTATTTATTACAAAGCTAGAGAAAATTCCAAGAAAAATTGTGTTTTATTTTTTCCTATCTTAAAAAATGGCTGACATAATGAATACTAAATTTTTCATTCCCGCGCGATGTTCTCGGTCAAAATTCGGCGGGCCGGACAAAGCGCGGTGACATCATAACTCGTGTCTCGCCACGCACTGTAAGGAAACTTACTATTGCGCTCGCAATTTCGAGCAGGCCACTCACGGTTGTGATAATTGTTTTTGACTAAAATTATCATATAAATATTGTATGTATCCATGTGAGTTATAACTGTAAAAATATAAAAAGGAATGTCAACTGTGCCAGGTCGCTATACAAGTGCTGATGTATTAGCCCTCCAAGAAACCTCGTTGCCTTGTCATCTATCAGTTATAGGCGAAATTGATAAGAATTCGAATATACGACAAAGTCGTTGGTGGATTTGCAGGCTGGTATTTTGCGAGGCAGGCCATACGGCGAGGTTGCTTTCTTATGGCGAAAAAGCATGTTCTGAATGTGACAGTGATCAATTGTATTGTTGAACGTATTGTCGCAATAAGAGCAATGATGTGTGCAGATCGAGAAATACTTATTATCGGTGTATATATACCGATCGATCAGTTTGAGAACTTGCCATTATTTACTCAGTGTTTAGGGGAGCTAAGTGCTGTAATACAATAACTCCAATATTGACGTAGTTTTTATGGTAGGGGATTATAACGCTCATCTAACCGCTCCTTTTTGTAATGAATTGATGGACTTTTGCATGGAAAATGTTTGGATTTGCGCCGATATATGTAAATTATTCATTTCATCCAGTACATATACATTTATAAGTGAATTACATGGGTGTAAATGATGGCTAGACCACTGCCTTGTCACTAAAACAGCTTGGCAGTCACTGGTAAGCAATAGAGTTCTTGATGATGTTTATTGGTCTGATCATTTTACAAAAGTGAGAACCTGTAATTTAAGAGTAATAAAAAGGAAACTTGCCTTTAATAGGAATGTACATAGTAATGTTTTTTGGGGTGTGTGAAAGCCTGAAATAATAGAACAGTTTTCTAATATTTGTAATGATAGGTTTAAGAATCTTCAATTTCCTAATAGTTTGTATAATTGCTCTGATATAACGTGTAATAATTTGTTCTATAGAAATTTTAATGATAATATGTACAATAATATTGCATTTTTCCGTCACGACCCTTTCTGACGTAGTGTAGACGTAATGTAAGCGAAATGGGATAATATCCTTCTCCCTCGCACTTTTTGTTATCATGTCCTATCAAGAAATATTATTTTATTTTAAATGACGCTTCATTTTAATAGACGCTAGTAATTCATTTATTCGTATTTTTTAATCAATAATATAATACGTTTATCAATAATAATATACTACGAAAGGAACTTCGTTCTAACCGAGTGTTCCACGACACTCACGCATGTTTTTTATAAATATTTTATTGAATACATCCGTCCAAAGTCGAAGTGTATTAGAAAGAAAAACAAATAAATATAAATATCTGTGTGGCTGAAACAAGTATGTATAACAGGCCCATAGATAAGCTTGACTTGATTATTCATCATGTACATACATATACATCATGTACGTTAAGCTACAGGGCGGCCTTATTTATAATACTTAAAATGCGGGAAAGCAACAAAATATTTAAACCAAGGCTTAAGTTTTGTCAAAAAAATCAAGAGCAAATTAGGATGGATATTATTGTAAATCAACACTAATAAAACACTCAGTAAGTTCTGGAAAAGCACTAAAAGATTAGATAGTAAAGTCACCCTTCCAGTGAGTGTTCAAGGTGCAAGCGAATTAGGAAGACCAATTTCGAGTGAAACCTAGTATGCCGCAAGTGCCAAATACTGAGAGATGTACAGTATTTAGTCCGCTTGCTTTCTCAAGTAGAGACATAGCTAATATTATTTCTAAAATGAAGAGAGGAAAATCTCCTGGACATGATGGCCTCAGCGTCGAGCGCTTGCGATATATTGGTTTGCACTTATGTAGATTTTTGGCAATATTTTTTTAATTTATGCATGCTTCACTCATATTTACCAACAAACCTTACTGAAACAAATGTTATGCCGTTAGTGAAAAATCCTACTGGTGATCTTAGTAATAACAGTAATTATAGATCAACTTCTTTGGCTACTGTGGTTTCCAAATTCTTGGATGGTACCCTTGACAGACATATAAGTAGTCACACAACTCTACAAGACACACAGTTCGGTTTTCGAGAGGGACTCTTAACTGAGAGTTAAAGCTTACTGTAAGCTAATATGTTGATAGTTACCTCCTATTTATGTTTGCTTTTTAGATTTGTCTAGTGTTTATAACCTAGAATGTTATGATAAACTGTGGGCAAAGCTAAGAGAGGCAGGTGCCCCTGAGCACCTTGTAAATATTCTTTCTTTTTGGCATAACAACCAGTCAAACTTTGTAAGATGGGGAAATAGATATTCCGATGAATACCGGTTAGAGTGTAGAGTGAGGAGAGGTGGTTTGACGTCGCTAAGGCTCTTTATTATCTATGTTATTGTGCTTTATATGTGATTGAGGAGCTCTGCAGCATGCATATAGGTTGTCACATAGAAAACGTGTGTCTTAATAACCTTAGCTATGCTGAAGACATGGTGCTGCTGAGCCCTTCAATTGGAGGTTCTCAGGGTTCTTCAGGGTTCCGTTCCCTCCGCAACTCTCTTCTTGCTACATATTAATGACCTGCTTATGGCCGGTGTCTTTGGGTATGTAGACGATAGCACAGTTGTGGAGAGATACCTACCAAGTTTCGCGCCAGTCGCGATCTAATCCAGACCAAAAGCTATAGTTGAGCATGTGAATCTTACTTTACAGGCAGTCTCCGAATGGGGCGATGCCAAAACTTGTGAAATTCAACGCCTCCAAAACACAAGCGTGTCCGTTCACTGCAAAAAAGAGCCAGCTCACCTTGGCTCCTTCTTGCCGAAATGTATCACTGGAATAGACCGAATGCCTTCAGTTGTTGGAGGTATGAACCTCAAATATGAACTTCAGGCAGTTCATTCAGTGTAAGGCCAAAGCAGCTGCAAGGAAGCTAGGAGTTCTTGCAAAGGTGCGGCGATACTTTACGTCGAGACAACTGCTTACTTTATATAAAGTGCAAGTCCGATCGTGCATCGAGCATTGCTACCATATATAGGCTGGTGCTGCAAAATGCCACATAGCAGCTTTCGACTTAATGGAAAGGCGTGCTAAGAGGCTTATTGGTGATTCGAATTTGGTTAAAACCAATCTTACCAGCTATGAACACAGGCGCAAAGTAGCCAGCCTTTTGGTTTTCTACAGGATGCATTTCCGAAAGTGTACACAGGAATTGCATAATTTAACTCCCCCCTCTCCCTTCCGCTATCGGGCAACCAGATGCTCGGCAAGTCCACCCCTTCGTTATTGACTTACCTACCGTGGTATGGAAATCGTTTAAGGTGTAGGTGTCTTCAAGGGAAGAGTGAATAGGCTTTTGTTATGTCAGTGCGCTTCATCATCTTAGTCTATATCACCACTTACCATCAGGTGGGATTGTAGTTAAGCGCTGGCTTCACTACAATAAATAGTATAAAAAATAATATAAAAAAGTATAGAGTGGCTATAGTGAACTACTCTATCATCTTTTAGTGTTGTCAAAGCCTTAAAGATATTAATTTAATTTTTTTTTACGAAATAATATTGCCAATCGAGTACTTATAAGATATTGTATTGTACAACACAATATTTTCGAACTATTTTTAATATTTTTACCTACGCTACTTAGTTTTAAACGTGGTAGAGCCATGATGCAGTTATATTAATTATTTAAACAGAGCAGAAACTTTTTTATTCAATATAGATTATAAATAATACTTATTGAAAGTCACTCTTTTGTTTGATTACCACTGGTTCAGAAAAAACCTCTGTCCTGGGAAGACCCAGCAAGAAACCCAGCGGGACTTTTTTTTAAATAACAGCTTACAATCATGATGTTACACAAATTAACATCACAACAAATTAGAAATAGCTTGGTAGCGATCACCTCATTTCCAGGGGCTATTATCATCTTTTATAGATTCTTTAATATTATAATAACCCTTTTTATACAAACTTAGTTTAATAAAGTTTTTGAACTTTGAGCAGGTCAAATTTTGTATATTTTCTGGAATTTTGTTGTAAAAGCGTATACATCGCCCCAAGAATGATTTACTGACTCGATGGAGTCGAGTAACTTGTACTACTAGATTGTATAGTATTGTATAGTAGTATCACGAACTGGTCGGCTCGACCGGGGAAGGACCACGCTCTCGCAGAATACCAGCGTTAAATAGCAGCTTAATGCTGCTGCGTGTAGAGAACCGGAGACCCTTTTTGCTGGAAAAGAGGCATTCCATCTAAGTTCTCACGGCTGGCAACGCATCTGCATTTGGATTCGCAAACGACGATAGATATAGATGTCTATGGGCTACAAAAATTAATCAATTACCATCAGGTAGACTGTGTGCTCGCTTGTCAGCCTTTATAAAATGACTTTATAAAAAAAGTAAATTTTGGTAAGTGGTCATTAAAGTGGCGGTTTAACAAGGCAAGTCGAGTCGTCATCTGACGTCACAATTGATGAGTTTTAGTCCTCAATATCTCGATAATTTATAAATAAAAATTATTGAATTATCTACATTTCGAAAATACTAATCAAATATTGGTCACATATGATATTGTTTAATATAAAAAAGTAAATTTAAAGCCTAAATAATAATATGTCTTAACGCATAGGCCTATTCTCATTTCTGAGAGAGATATTAAGAAATTAAAAAAAAATAGCTGATAATTAATTACGTAATACATACCTTGAAGTGAATATGTCAATAGCATTGCCAGGCTTCGTTTTAAATCCGTCACATCATTATGCAGTCCCTGTGCTGCTATTGACAGGAAAAATATTTCAATGTTGTAATATATAAGTTTAGTACCGATTTTCATAAATATGTCTGTTTTAATATAGCCCTGAAAATTATCAAAAACATGAACGGAATTTAATTTAAAATATTAAATTTTAATATATTGGTATACGGCCAATTTAGTTCAAAAGAAAACGAGTATCACTGCTACTCGTATGGGGTAACTCAAAAACAAATTATTTATCCAACTGTTTAGTTATCCTTAATAATTACATGTTACAGTCAGAACTGTTTCCCGGTGAAAACCGCTCTTGATCAACAGAAGCAGTCGAAGTGTTTGTGACTGCAGGCTTAGGTCATATGTAGTTTTGCCTATGTTTAAAAGTACTTTGTTTCCGGCGTATCCCGATTTCAGGACCTACTAGATTTGACTACGCTTAACTATACTCATGAACAAATTTAGCGGAACGAAGAAAAAAAGGTTAAATATTTCCTGTTGTAATTATCGTACGTACTGGCCACAAACATTAGTAAATGCTAAAAGTTTAGGAACTTTTTTTTTCTAATTTCATCTATTTGTATGTAATCATTGCGTAATATTGTGTTTTTTCACACTGCGAAAATTTTGCCAACCATTGAATTTCAGTAAAAATTTAAGTTTTGTTTAAATTTTTGCCTTTACTGCCTTGTTTATCGAGTAAGGTATCAAGTGTTTCTGCAAAAAAATAATTGAGAATGCCAAGTCGAACCGCCACTCAAGTTACTAGGGCTGTTACTTTAATTGAAACTGGGCACACCTATAAACATGGGGCCCAAACATTAGGAGTATCAAAATCTGTGTTACACTGAGTTATCATGAGGTATTGGCAGACCGGACTGTATACGAGACTCGCAGGGCAGGGACGTAAACGGAAAAATGTGGCCAGAGATGTCCTGTTCATTTTTACCAGCGTGCTTGGCCTTTACTTCTTCTTAGGTAAGAACGAAGTTCCAAGAAGACTGAAATTGCCCAGAGGGCTCTTGCCACATATCATCAATCGAGAGCTCGCTCGATAGCTCGGGTTAATTTTGCTCGCAAGCACGAAAATTGGACTGACGAAGTTTGGAGTGAAGTTACACTAAAAGATGAGTTCAGATTTTGCCTGAATCCAGATGATGGAAGGACTAAATCGTGGAGACGCCCGGGAGAGAGGTATGCTCATTGCAACATAACTGGAAAAGAGACGTATGGTGGAGGGTCAGTACGAAACTCTAGCCTGATGTCATAATTAACGAAGGCTACGAAGGCTTGTGATGATCCAGAATATTTTGAATTTCTGGTATGTCAACATATTCAGAATCATGCCAAACATTATATCAGATTTATAGACTACAAAATCTCGAAAAAAAAACACCGATTCCTACCAATGATGTTTCACAAGGATGTAGAAATTTAAAAAAACATCCTAATTTCAATATAGAAGGTGGCTGGGTATTACGCTCTGCTATGGGATCATAATTAATAAAATTAAACCCAATACAAGCACACTACTGCAAGATTTCAAGATGCTGAACTTTTTGACTCGTTCTACGTCCATCAGGTCATTAATGTGGTTGTCTATAATCAAAAAAGAGAAAATGAACCTCAAAAGGTAACCGTTAAAAAATTAGAAAAAAGAAACAATAATAAGAATATTAACGTCAAAACATTATTTATGATTCCAGTGTTGCTAAGCAAGACTTTTTCTGTTATGAAATTAATAGCTTAACACCAACGCCTTCGCTCCTAGTTTTTTTTTTCACCAACGTAACAACAAAATGATGAGCTTGATAATGTTCCACATTTAAATTTAAACTTCATGATTACACCTTTGAGAAGTCCAGCTAGTGTATTAAAAATAAAAAGTAAAAATAAAAAACATAAGAGCAGATTGCGAAAGAAATAATAAAATATGTGACTAGTTAAATAATGAAAGTTTTTTATTGTTATTCAAGCAGAAGTTTAAAAACTTTTATTTGAACAGGAAGAATGAATAAAAAAGCAATGAGGCAGCTAGTAAATACTTATGTCAGATACATGATAACAAAATGCTTTTAAGAAACAGGAGATTACACGGCAATGGAACTTCATCGCCATATATGTTATCTAAACTAAAAAAACACGAGTAATTAATACTATTGACTTGTCCATATTTTGTTTAAAATAATGAACAATGTAATCTTCTAAACATAAAAAATATTTAGAAATGTTGTATACGTACTTTTTTTGTTTTTAATCAATAAGAAATGTATGGTAAGATTACTTGGAAAAAAATCTTTATTATTTTTCATATTTTTGATTAATGTTGTACCTGTTTTTGTTTGCACTTGTAGTCTGGGAGTACTTAGTGTACTTTTAACACTTGCACCAGGCAAGTGTTAAAAGTTCGTAAAAATTTTTTTTTTTAATTATTAGCACTAAATATTAATCTGTTAATGTGCAAATGCATGTAAAATATGATTTTGCTGTTTGTTTTTTTTTCTTTGCAAAAAATAAATAAGTACGTAATTAACTTATACAAGTGGCTACTTGTAACAGTTTACGTCTTACTGTTTTAAAGAAAAACAGATGTGAATGACGCTATATTCAAAATTATTTAAAAATATTGAAAATTAATGATGCCACCTTTTTTCTCTAATGTTCAGGTATAACATTTCAAATTCTAATCATTTTCATCGAATTATATAAAAATTACAAGTTATTGAATATAATAATATATCCACGTAACAATTAAAATCAAAGATTTGTGTATATTTATGCCATCATCGTAGCTTCGAAATTTTAATAAACAGGAACCTCTTACATCGATAATCCTTATCTTCAGCGGCAGTATAATATAGCTCCTAATCGAAATTCCGTTACCCTAACGAATTTTGTTGTAAGTAATATGTGTATATTAATATAAACATAAAATTATAATACTTACATCGACACTCATAAATACCATTGAGTATATATATATGCTAATATAAGAAATCGCTGTCGTCAACATAACTGTAATCTGAAATATAGAATATGAAGAAAAGAAAAATAATGTTCATATTACTACATTTTTCTTACAAGTTGATAAAGTAAGCTAAACTAATAAGAATCGTACTTGAAATCCAAAAATTCTATTAAAAATTCTCGTAGCCTCTGCGAGGCGCGTATAAAGAACCGACCACTGTTGTATTTTTTCATGTCGTTCCCTGGGTGTCACAACTGGTGTTATATCTGCTGATTTTATTTCTCCTGAAATTTTATATACTACTTTTGTCTCATTAACCACTAATCTAATAACACATTTTACTTGTTCTGATAGAATATATATTATTAAGTATAGTACCAAATATTCGAAAAAATAACGAAGGTCACTAGTTACAACATTTACTACAAACATATACACAAAATATCTGCTAACACCATATTTAAGGAATTCGCCATATTTTGTAGTAACCAATGTGAAAATTATTTTTGTAATGCTGTACAATAGAAACGCTGCGATTATCAAACAACTCTTTTTCTTAAAATGCCTTAAATATAAATCGTCATTAAAAAAGATAGTACTGTTTGTATTGACGATTGTTAATAATTTTTTAAAGGACTTTGAATGATACAAAGCCACTATTATTAAGAATAATGAAGTCGCGTAACATAAATATAGGAACAATATTTCTGTAATGCGAAAAATTGAATTAAAGTATCCGCAAACAATAATGTTAGAAACACATATGGAAATTTCTAATAATAATGAAAAATACATCAAATATACTAATCTTTTGTTAGTAAATGATATATTTCGGAATAAAAAAAGAAAGTTTTCAATCAGAAATATAACTTTTAAAGGTTTTAAGGTAGACATGATGTCCGTGCGCTCCTGTTTGGAGGAAATACAATTACGTAGTAAATTGAATTCAAATGAAACAGTGTTGTTGATTCATGTAATAAAAGAAAAGTTAAACATAATTTATAATCGTAAAACAAACTTTCCATTAATTTAATACATTAATAATTGACGTTTCTATGACTACGGCAAAGTGTACACATAATATATTCTATTCTATATTCTTGAAATAAAAACAGTTATTTTATTTGTTCTTTAAATTTATGATGACCTCAAATTACTTTAATATGAAGCAAAGGAGACATTATTAAAATTTAATTTTTTGTACCTGCGCCTAAGTGTTTACAGTTAAGACTGCATACACACTATACTCATATGTACCCAGTAGTATTGACAATATATCCATCATTGAATTATATGTACTGTGCGTAGTACATAATACATATCGATGATATCCATCTAGTGTCTTTCCTTTAGATAAATAGATTTGTTTTCATAGTAGTTACAATTCTCTTTTATTTGATGAAACTGAAGTGACTAACGAAATTACAATCCATTTGATGGTATCTACTGCAGTGCATAGACACGTGTAGTCAACTTATAACAAAAACGGTTACAGATACGTTGTGACTCTCAGTTTAGGACTGAAGGATATAGAGCTCCACTATAATTACGGTCTTCGAAGCAACTCATCTTGTTTCTCAAAAGTGATAACCCTCCTGTAGCCTACCTCTAATTTGAATTATAAGTGGTGAAGCTATTCTGTAGCAATATGGTTTTAATTCTTATAAAATACAGGAATACGCTCCTGTGTTTCATATGATGAGTGTAGAGAACTGGAGAATTTTTTTAACGGAAACAAGGAATTTCATTTTAGTTCTCATGGTTGATAACGCACCTGAATTTCTATTCTTATATATGTATGGGTATGTATGATAAAGGAAGATGAGATATGTATATATATATATATATATATATATATATATATATATATATATATATATATATATATATATATATATATATATATATATATATATATATATATATATGTAGAGCCATGCTGCAGCTATATTAATAGTATAGTTGTAGCACGAATGTGTCGGCTCGACCGGGGAAGGACCACGCTCTCACAGAATACCAGCGTAAATAGCAGCTTAATGCTGCTGTGTTGCGTATGGTGAGTGTAGAGAACCAGAGACCCATTTTACTGGAAAAGGGGCATTCTATCTTAGTCCTCAAGGCTGACAACGCATCTGCAATCTAATTCGCGAACGAAGATAGATGCAGATGTCTATGGGCCACAGCAACCACTTACCATCAGGTGGACTGTGTGCTCGTTTGTCATCCTAATTCTATAAAAAAAAATGTATGTGACGTGTTGTATTCATTTGAGGTGGGTAACATTAAAAATGTTAGGAGAGTGACGTAAGTGCCTTAAATTAGAATTTTTATATCTTTCTAACTCCTTCCAAACTAAGTCCAATAAAAATAAATCAGCCCAAAACGAAATAAAAGTACACATACTGGCTATGACCAGATAAACCGTTTTGACTCATTAATTAAACATCAGTGTGAGTATCAGTGCTCAATACTAGTTTCTTCAGAGTTGGTGTGACAATATTATATCTCTATGGCAGTGTGATATAAAGGTGGAGCAGAAGAGATAAAAATTAAAAAAAAAAACACTTCAATACTTTCTTATGTGTACGCAAATACTACACATGGAATAAGACTAACTTTAAGGATTTTATCGCGTTTTTAATTCCCAACGTTTAGGACACTCCAGAATCTGTGGTGACATGTGGACAGAGGTGTTGGAAGTCCTGATGTCATAGTAAACGAAGTTTACTTCCAACTTTTGTATACTAATTTTTGTCTAACCGATCTACGTAGAACGAGCGTAGCTTACAGTATCTTGAAGTCTTGCTTACGCTAGCATATTAGTATTATTAATATAGTATTATGATTATTACGCGGATTGATGTAGATGTTGAAGGCCATAGTATCCATTTACTATCAGGTGGACTGTATGCTTGTTTGTCACCCTTATTCTATAAAAAATAAAGCTTGGATTTGGATTTAATTTTATTAATTATGATATTCCCAGCCATTATCGCTATTGAAATAAGGATTTTTTTTTAATTTCTATAGCCTCGCGAATCATCCTTGGTAGGATTCGGTGTTCTTTTGTGACGACTTATGGTCTATAAAATCTGATATAATGGTAAGGACGATCTTGTTGACATACTGCAGGCTTCCTGGAGCGTCGGTGTTTCATATCAGCGATATAATATTTTACGCGGGTTTGTTTGGATCTTTTTGTTTGCCTATGTATAAGAGACCATATTTATAATAAAGCTAGTATAACCTACCCCTGCCTCTTTTAGAGGGATATTACACTTGATGGATTGTAAGAACTGATTTTTGTTATTCAGCTGCTTGTAGTATTGTAGCCATCTGCCGTGAAGTTCATTTCGCGCATTCCTAAAAAGGCCTGTATTTCTTAAATGATAAATAAAGGCTGCAGGTTATATATTACTATTGTAGTTTTTTTTATAGGATAAGGGTGACAAACGAGCACACAGTCCACCTGATGGTAAGTGGTTGCTGCGGCTCATAGACATCTACATCTATCTTCGATTACGAATCAAAATGCAGATGCGTTGTCACCCATGAGGACTCAGATGGAATGCCTCGTTTCCAGTAAAATGGGTCTCTGGTTCTCTACACTCACCATACGAAACACAGCAGCATTATACTACTATTTTACGCTGGTATTCTGTGAGAGCGTGGTCCCTTCCCGGTCGAGCTGACACATTCGTGCTACAACTATACTATTAATATTGCTGCAGCATGGCTCTACCACGTATAGTTATACAGAAGAAACATTAAACCCAGTAGAACTACCTGTACTATCATGTATTCTGTTGTAGAACTGTAATTTTTATTTGCTTATGTTTTATGCTATCATATATACACTTTTAACTAATGGTTAAAAAATCAGCCCTATGTCCTTTAAATTTTTTTTTAAAAGATAGCAAGCTAAAATACCCTCTATATCCGTTACTGCATCACAGGCTCTACTCTAGTGCTCCGCAAACAGTACTGGCAGCATGTAATCAGCAGTGTTTGAATAAGCTTTCCACCATTTTTAAATATTAAACCAAGTTTGTTTAAGCAAACTTTATATTTTACGTTATAGCTTATAGTGCTATTTTTATTTCGATTTCAACTACGTAACATGAATAATAATAATGGCTACAATGAATGCCAGCTTAAATGGTGCGTGATATCTAATAATGCGATAGTCTATCCGCCTGTGAAGCATGGCGAATCCGAACTGCTTAAAACAAAAAAAATTAAGCACAGTAAGAAGAAAATTCTAGAAATTTTCAAAGACGAGAACGAGATGACGAAGCAGAGGGAACACTGAGAGTAATAACTTTAACCTATAAAATCCACTATTGAACATGGTTCCCTGCAGATGATGAAAGATTTGCTTTAAGGGGATATCTCGGCTGCAATATCTTTACAGAATAGATTTTAACGATCCATTGCTAGCGTGCTATGCCCGAATAACGAGTTAGAAAACAGAGAGAGACAATTACAGCTCGAACTGATTTCACATTTTGCATGCCTCACAACGTGAGTGAGTGCTCTACTCTCGATATGTGGCCATACCTCAATTTCGCTATATAAAATCGATCTTATACGTCTAGCTAGACATCAAATCCATATTATTATTAACGTTACAATAACTACGGACATTAAATTATTAGATTAGTTTATTTTCTAATTGATTCACTTTAGATTATATAACAAAAAATAAGTAAAAATGTAATTGAAAAAATATATGGACTGCCGTCACAGACCAACTGTGTGTTGTTGGTGAGTCTTCTCGCTTTATAGAATTATGAGCAATAGATTGCGATATATAGTATTAAATAAAATTCCATATATTCTAAGGAGGATCCCTATTGATTTGTGTTGTTAAACTCAACACCGTTTAAAAGTTATTAATGAAAGTATATCAGAATCTCTGTCTTTTGTCTTGTAAAAATGTCGTCACTATTTTTATTTTTTCATAAAAATTAAATGAAATGCTCCCGAGGCGTGCACTTTTGGGTTTTTACGAAACTATTTTTATAAAACTGAAGTTAAATGGACTTACAGTCAAATTGATGGTAAGTGGCTATTGCAATCCATGGAAACCTGCGGGCAACTTCATTCTAAGAAGACTACAGATGCATATTGCCTATAAAGACTAAGACGGAATGCCTCCTATCTAGCCTGTAATTAAACTAGTTCTCTACACCCGTCAGACCGAAATCCAGCAAGCAGTCCTATTTGGCAGCTGAAATAGGTGAGAGGTATCTATCCAGACGGACCCTTAGGCAGAAAAGGAGTCCTGAAAATTTTATAAAATCATCTATGAAAAATGTACAAAATCATCCATGGAATATTTACAAAATCGTTCATGTAAAATTTACAAAATTATCATCCGGTATACCCCTATTTTCTCCTCCAAAACTGGTTCGGTTTTAACTTTTTTTAACAAAATGTAAATATGATTAATCGGGCGGCATCAGAGGCACCTAAACTAAGTAAATGGCACAAGAATGAGTCACTGAGAGATGACTACATATTTGTACAATTTGCTGTAGAGCCTATCGGTCAGTGGGATGCACGTGCGGTGAAGTTCCTAAAGGAACTGTTACCGCGACTGTTCGTCGCTTCTGGCAATAAGAGGGCTGGTTCTTTTCTCGCTCAAAGACTAAGTATAACCATTCAGCGAGGAAAAGCTGAGAGCGTTCTTGGCCCGATACCACGGGGAGTAGGACTGTATAATAATTATTGCGCGCCACGATTAATACATGGTACTTGGCGACACTAGTTACCACTAGCGCCCTCTAGTATCGAGTAGCAGAACTAGGAGAGGCGAGAACCTTCTAAAAATTTCCATCGAAGAACTTTCTAGAACTATCGACACCTCGTCAATCGGGACCGATATGTAC